TGAAGCCATCGGTTTGGAGCTTAATTTTAGCAAATGCGAACTTTTTATAAATAACTGTGACTTAAATTTAAATGACATTAAACAAAAATTTAATATTTTGGCTCCAAATATTAAAATAGTTAACAGTAATTCCCTTTACCTTTTAGGTTCTCCAATTTTTGATGAATCTATTTCTGAATATTTTAATAATTCAATTAATAAATTCCAAAATTCCGCTGACCGTCTCCTTGAAATTAGTCCACATTATGCACTTTGCATCTTAAAATTCTGTCTTTTTGTCCCAAAATTAACGTATGTCCTCCGTTGCTGCTCCTTTTGGAATCATCCAGATCTTTTGGCACACGGCTTAATCAAAAATAACTTAGAATCAATTCTTAATATGCAGCTTAACGAGCAATCTTGGACCCAACCATCCCTACCCATCCGTTATGGTGGTTTAGGGATTCGCAAAATTTCCAGTGTCGCTTTACCAGCCTTCCTATCTTCTGTCCATAGTTAAGCAAATCTCATAAGTAAAATTTTAAGGGCATCCCCTTCAAACTTTGAGATTGCTGGCTTGGAAGAAGCTAGAAACGCTTTCTTAATTGCATGCCCAGGTCAAAATTTTCCAGTTTCTCCAAATTCACAGAGGAGCTGGGATGACATAAACTGTAAATTGACATATGATAACCTTTTGAGCTGTAGTACAGGTTCGGCGCGTGCTAGGCTTTTGGCCGTGGGTGCGCACGAGGCCGGCTACTGGCTTCACGCGTACCCCTCGTCAAATACAGGAACATTTCTTGAGCCTGACACGCTCTGAATCGCAACCTGCCTACGGCTTGGGGTCCCGGTCTGCGCTCCTCAAAAATGTCCCTGTGGCAGTGATGTCGACAAGCTAGGACATCACGGACTGTCATGCCAAAAAAGTGCAGGTCGCTTCTCGAGACATGCCGCACTTAACGATATCATACGCCGGTCCCTTGCCACTGTCAACGTGCCAAGTCTACTTGAGCCGTCTGGTATTGCAAGAGACGATGGCAAGAGACCAGACGGTATGAGTTTGATTCCATGGAAGATGGGTCGGGTGCTGGTATGGGATGCAACCTGTTCAGACACGCTGGCCCCTTCCCATCTACATGGAACCAACAACAGAGCTGGTGCGGCTTGTGAAGCGGCTGAAAAATCAAAAGCAAGCAAATACAGGGGTCTAGGCTCCGAATATGATTTTGTCCCATTCGGTGTCGAGACCCTTGGTCCGTGGGGTCCTAGCGCTTTAAGGCTATTTATGGAAATAGCAAAAAGGTTAGCCGACGTCACAGGAGTTCTAGTATTTATATTTTACTTATATATAGTAATTATGTTATTAGATAGAGACTTATTTGTTTATGGTTAGTGTATTTTATAGTTTTATGATGTGAAATTGTTAATGTTACTATTTTTAGTTTTTATTAATGTTCATTAACATTTTTTAAGTTTATTTCATAACAAATTCGAACGGAGCGGATAAATTTCATCAAAATCGGACTTAATCAAAACCAATTTAATGTATTGCATTGTAATACAATTTACTTACTTAAATAAACCTTCAAACCAATAAAAATATGCTTTTTTCCAAAAAGTATCTTTATCTTAAAAATATAATAAGAAAATACATATCTTGTATCTGGTATTTCAAATACTTTTTCCAAAGGTATCTTGTATTTGTTATCTAAATACTTGATTACCTAGTATCTTATATTTTAGATACTTTTTGTAGGGTATCTATTACATCGCTGGAAATTGGATGTACCAAGTAAATTTTGTAACTCCTGCACACTGTCATACCGGTTCTTGTAAACTACATCTTTATATATATAATTCTTCTGTGAGTGTGTATGTCACTGAACTTCTCTTAAACGACTGGACCGATTTTGATGAAATTTTTTGTGTGTGTTCAAGGGGATCTGAGAATGGTTTAGATTCACAATTTTGTCCGCTGGACAACCCCTATTTTTTTAGGGCGGTACGAAGTTCGCTGGGTCAGCTAGTCTATATATATAAAACTCAAAGATGACTGACTGACATAGTGATTTGTCAACGCACAGCCCAAACCACTGGACGGATCGGGCTGAAATCTGGCATGCAGGTATATGTTATGACGTAGGCATCCGCTAAGAAAGGATTTTGATCAATTCTACCCCCAAGGGGATAAAATAGGGAATGAAAGTTTGTATGAAACTTTGTCAATTTTAAACCGATCGGGCTGAGACTTTGCATGCAGGTATAAGAAGAATCATAGATGAATGTCATTGTGTATAATACAAGGCTGAGAATAAAAACTGTATTCTACACTTCAGCCCTACACCGAAGCGAAGCGAGGGCGGGCTGCTAGTCTTTTATATAACCTTACCAAAAAACCAGTCGCGTTATAATTATGACCTCACAAAGAAGAATATAAGTACCTATTACAGTTTGTATAAGTATCAGTTTATATTTTTTTCAAGTACTTATTAATAAGGGAATTAATAAAGGAATCTTATATTATAAAGTAAGTGGGTATTAGTTGTTGGAAGCACGGAAAAGTCAGAGAAAATTTTTCTGAACAAAATTTAAAGGAGATTGCTCATCTTCCATACATGTTTGGCCTAAAGACCAATAATCATGAAAAATTGTGTCCTAGATTCGAAATTATATATAAATTACTGTAGAAACGAATATTATTGACGGACACCCATGAGAACTTCTATAAACAATATACACTGAACATATTAAAATAATAAAAAACAAATAAGTTATATAGTAAACTAGGGAAATCAAGCCAAGTACCGAAATTAGGGATTAGATTCAGGTATATAGTAGCATGTAGATTAACAGATAGTTACCTGTTTTTAAAGTTAATGCATAAGAGTCACTTTTAAAATCAGGTGTCATTTCCGGTTAAAATAAGGTACTCTGTGACAGAAACTGTGTGATGATTGTGAATGAGCCACAGATTAGAGAGAATTTTTAAATTCTCGTTAACCAAAGTAAGCTTAGAGATTTAGGTTCTATAGCCATATATTCAGTAGCTTCATTATTTTTGTTATGTTTTTAAGATAACCATATTTTAGATTTTTAGTGTATCACACCTTATAATTTTATTTATTTATTAATTTATAGGCAGGGAAAGTAGGCCCATACATACCTTAAAGTCTACATATATACAGATTATAATGTGTTTATAGAGGTGTTTGGCGAAAAATGTATGGCAAAAGACTTTATGATGTCGCCTACCATCTATTTATAATAATTGTCTGTAAAATGATAATAATATAGTTGTGGATATTAATACCACAGTGTAATAAAAACAAATGATTTATTTTATTGATCTTTACAAAATAGATTTGTTTTTTATGTTATATAAACAACTTCGATCAGTCTTTGGCTGAATGTTACTACACCCATAGGCCCATAGCCATCAAAAACGATTTGTATGTTTTCCAAACCGGTAAAATTAAAAGTCCTTTTTAAAGTAAATATATTATACAAAGGTGTCCGTTGAAATCTAATGACTGTAAATTAAATTATAAATTACGCCAAGAATTACCGTGTATGTCAATATTTTTTGTGCATTTGGGCCAATTTGAGCAATCTCCTTTCATGATCTTCCTTTCATTTAAAATGCTATGTTATCGAGGAAAAATAATGTTTATGATGTTATACATAAAATACGTCAAGTGTTTGTTTTTTCACATTTCAGGAGTTTGATTCCCCGCTGTGGCTGGAGGTTTAAAGAAAAACCGTGAAAGCACTTCCACTTATTATTAAAAATAAAATTATGTCGTCTTTTAGTAAAATAAACTATCTTTAATATTTAATATACTTTCCATCCGTGTGGCATGGCCATGGGACACCTGTATAGATAAGATTAGATTCTTAAGTATATACAATAAATAACACGATCAGCTCACACACGAATGTTGGTAATTCGTGGAAAATCTGGTTTCAAGAACTTAACCTCGCACGAAGAACAAGGTGACCCAGCCTTGGCTCACTCTTATGGTCATTCGCCCTAATATTGTTAACGTCATAAGGTACACGGAAAACATAATTCTAAAGTTCACGTTGCGACAGTTAAATACCTACACAACTAACCTAAACCAACATATAAATGACGCAGTGTCACGGCGTAGCCGAGCCTATTTCGTAATGTGGAACGTAATATATGTGAAGCAGATTTGAGTATATTGTTACATAACAATATTGGTTCAGAACCTAAAAAATGCCCCAAACGAAAACTGAACCCTAAAAAAGTGATAGTCACTGCTTGGTGGTTTAGCGCCGGTGTCATTCGTCACAGCTTCTTACCAAACGGGATGACCATTATCTTAATATATATAAATCTCGTGTCACAATGTTTGTCCTCAATGGACTCCTAAACCACTGAACCGATTATAATAAAATTCGCACACCATGTGCAGTTCGATCCAACTTGAGAGATAGGATAGTTTAAATCTCAAATTATAGTCGCAATTTTAATTTATTGCAAATTATTACTTTTGGGCGGTACGAAGTTCGCCGAGTCAGCTAGTAGTAATATATGTTATTAACGGGATTGTTACCATGTACCTTGTTTTTAGCGAGTTTCCGATATTTTGGCACTGTTGCAAGCGCCATGATCACGGAGTAACTTAAGCAATTGCGGGTAGAGTGTTATTGGCAGACATATTGGCTACCCTCCGACGAAGTCTTTTATTGCGTTCGATACCGCTGTCCACATTCTCACTATTCACTCGAAACTGTTCCCGACGCACAAAAAATGTGTGAAAACCGGAAAAATCTAAAGTGTCGTGTCGTGATCCGATACTGTAAGTGACTTCTACTTTACCAGAATTGGGATAACTTCTTAGCTGGAGAAATATTCAGTCCAAAATACCTTGAAAAACAAATGATTGCATGGGTATTTACTTTGATTAATAAAAATAAAAAATATAGAAAAACAAACGGCCAAGTGCGTGCCGTGCCACGCGCAGTGTAGGGTTCCGTAGTTGCTAGGCGTCACCACAATATATTTTGGAAAGAGTCTATATATTAAGCAATCACATTGTCTAAGTCACTTTTAATGTTTTCTTCTAAGGATTTTATATTAGGTCAGTTCTAATTAAAGTTGAACGACTATTGCTCTTAAACTAACAGATATATTTTAACCGTTATAGTTTTCCTTAAAAGTTAATTTTTATTTTATTTATTCCTTCAATACATTAATTAAGCTTACAACTAGATTATATTCTCCAAACTGTATGCAAACAGTTCGTGGGCGTGATAAACACTCATTAGTCATAATTGTGGATATAAACAAACGTTAAGCGTTAGCACGCAATCCGCACTGTGCCCGCGTGTTGGGACATGGCCCAATCTCCCTTTTCCAGCTATTGGGAAGGCCTGGGCCCCAGCAGTGGGGACATTAAAAGGCTGATGATGACGATGATGAAATCTTCCAGATTCAACATGTATATTACGCTGGTTTTCCTGATCGCTTTGCCAGTGTTCCTGTACTGGCTGTACTGGCGGCAGGCGAACAAAAGACTGCTGGAGTTGGCTTCCAAGATCCCGGGCCCGCCGGCGCTGCCCTTCATCGGGAACGCTTGGATGTTCATTAAAAACCCTAAAGGTAATATAGATCATTATTCACTTCAATAATTTCAGTTTATTATACATTAAACAGCAAACAAAACGGGCCACTTGCTACCTCGGAACTCTGATTTGATTTTCTCAAAACGTATAAAAACTGCAAATATTAAAGTTATACCTACTGAAAGTGGGTTTCGTGATTATTAGACAGAGGAATTTATGGAGTTTTAAAGTTTTCCAAAGAAGAGTCGGTAGGAAAAACACGCGCCTGGGAAAACTACATACAAAATACAAAAATACTAAAGAATTAAGTATTTAATCAGACTATCTTCACTTTATAAAAAAGAACGTTAATGGAAAATTTATTAAAAATTAGCAAATTAGCAAGTTGTTACTTTGGAAGACAAAACGAGGTAACCCCTCAATTACAAACAGTACAAAATATTTTTATTTTAAGAAACATTTAATTAACTCGATCAAATACATATTAATAATGAAATATATATTTTATAAACAGATAGGCTATTTTATTATTTATATTTCCTTATAAATATGGAGTTAATCGAACTCGTTTTACCCAGAATCTGGTGGTTTAGCCTGCTTAGAGGTTGATATGGGTGGTTTCTACCCCTAAAAAGTGAATTTCCGCAGTTTCTACAAGAAAGCAGGCATAATTACGAGTATTAAAAAAAACCGGCCAAGTGCGAGTCGGACTCACGCACCGAGGGTTCCGTACATACCTGTAGGTATATTTTAATAATCATTAAAAAATATTTTTATCATATGATGTAACTAAAAATTTACGGTTTCGCAATTTTTCGTTTATCTGTACTATAAGACGTTACTTTGTATCAAATTTCAAGATTCTAAGTTCACGGGATGTACCCTGAAGGTTTTGATTCCCGTGCGAGTTTCGAAAATTTGCGGCATAAACGGCTGTATCTTTTGATTGCTTTGGCTTAGAAGTTTAATTTTTTCACAGCTCTAAGGGACAGTGGACATGAGTATTAGATATGAATTTCAGTTTGTTACCTCCACGCGTTCCTGAGAAAAACGGTCTTGACAGACGGACGGACGGACGGACGGACAACAAAGTGATCCTATAAGGGTTCCTTTTTTCCTGTTGAGGTACGGAACCCTAAAAATGATTTTATTTAAATTAGATTTACTGCCTCGCGCGTAGTTTTGATCGTTTCTGCCCACTGTGCGGCGCCATGATATTTTTTTTGACGTCAACGGTCAGTTCATTGCCCGGTGATAAGTGGGAATAATTACGTTTGACCGACGTGTTTACCATTTTGACGGCGTGATCGATATACATATCTCCACAAAATTACAGCTCTTTAGTGCTAATAGTCTCCAAGAAAAACTGAGGACGGACAGACAGACATGAAGAAACTGCAAGGGTTCCTTGTCAGGACTGACTACGGAACCCTAAAAACCGGACAACTCCGTGCACACATACAGACAGACACGACAATTGAAGTAGTTTTCATCATCAGTTAAAAATTAAAACGTCTTATAGTACAGCCTTCGATAAGCTGTGGTAACTTTGGTAAATTTAAGTATAATTTAATTTGTAAGAAAAAATATTATTTTATTAGAATTGATATAATCAAAAATGATTTTTTGTTTAAATACTCAATAAAAAATTAACAAAAGCACACAAAAATGGTAAACATGGCAATTTATAGTATGTAAAACAAAATTCCATTTCCACCATAAAAAATATTTACTGTAGCAAAGTTACTGACCTATACCATTACATATAGAGATGTACACATTAAGAATAGTGGTAAATCAAGCATGCAAATCAGTAATTTAATATTCAAGACGCCGTATTGGACATGACACCATATTCAAATTGAACTATAATGAAATAACATGGTGTAATATAAAAAAATTAAACATTTTAAATATGAGAAAGAAAAAATACTTCTAAAAATATGTAAAGGTCAAAATAAATTTAAAGACAAGAAAAGTACTCGTGCGCTAGACCTACCTCAATAGACTCGCCGGAAGTTGGACTGTTTATCGCATGAAGGATGGAAGCAATATCCGAACTCACCTTGGGGGGTCTTTTATATTGTGATCTTCAAAGCTTGCAAATGGGTTTTCCTTAAATTAGACTAAATTAAAGCTATTTTTAGGGTTCCGTACCTCAAAAGAAAAAAAACGGAACTCTTATAGGATCACTTTGTTGTCCGTCCGTCTGTCAAGACCGTTTTTCTCAGGAACGCGTAGAGGTATCAAACTGATATTCATATCTAATACTCAGGTCTACTGTCCCTTGGGGCTGTGAAAAAATCAAACTTCTAAGCCAAAGCAATAAAAAGATACAGCCGTTTATGCCGCAAATTTCCGCAAATTTTCGAAACTCGCACGGGAATCAAAACCTACAGGGTACTTCCAGTGTACTTAGAATCTTGAAATTTGGTACGAAGTAACGTTTACAGTACAGCTAAAGGAAAAATTGCGAAAACCGTAACTAAAATTACATCATATAAAAACCTTTGACGACCTCCGTGGCCGAGTGGTTTATACGCCGGGTTTCATGGTGTCGCCGACTCGAGAGGTCCCGGGTTCGAATCCCGGTGGGGGCAGATGTTTATGTGATGAATACGAGCATTTGTCCTCCAGTCATGGATGTTTAATATGAATTGCTATATAATATATATGTACAATAATATGTATTTTATCCGTTACTCTAGCATCCCATAACACAAGCCTTACAGTGCTTACTTTGGGGCTAGGCTAATTGGTGTGTGTTGGAAATATAATAGAAAAAAAAACAAAAATATTTATGAAAAATCGTGCGTGAGTCCAACTCGCACTTGGCCGGTTTTTTTTGTCTAATCTTGTATAAAAGTACAATTTCGGTTTACCGGGTTCAGTCCACATTATTTAATTTTTGTAATGTTACTAACATGTTATGGCATGATTCAATATTAAATCTTCAATGTAAAAAAAAGGCGAACGGCTGAAAAAACAGTTTGCAGGTTAACACATTGCACAAAACAAAAGAATAAATAAATGGAATTTCGAAGGTTCTGACCGTTTAGAAACAAAGAAATGTTTGAAATGAAAAGCACTACGAAATTAAATTTTATGCTGAAGCGAAATCCACATGTACTAAATTATCGAAATATTTAAAGAAAAACACTTTTTGAATTAAAAAAATACTTAACACTAAATACATTTTGAATAAATATTCGTAATTCAAAAAGATTACGAAAAATACATTCTCTCTTTGCAAAAAGAGACGTCGTGAAGTATGGGCTATCACTATTTACTTTCACATATCTTTTCCAAGAGGAAAGCAAAGAGCCTTCTTAAGCGAAAATGGAAACAATAAAAATCGCATAGACTAGCAAAAACGGTTTATTAACATTTTGATACACTCAAAAAGTAAATGAGAAATGTGAGATAGTCTAAACAGAGGCCACATCTCTTCTCCCTCACACTTCAACCAAACAAAAATCATGTGACGTATTAAAATAATACGTTACAATGCCCATAATCCGCTTTGTCCATTGATTCAGGTCTAAGGTTATAGGCCTACCTCTGATTTATTATCTCTATCATCTCGCAAATTACTATTATGATTAACGTGCCCACGTGTGCACGGTTGAAGGCCATAGATACCAGAAGGCCTACTTCAATTCATCGAAAAACGAAATTTCGATCGTAACTTCGCATGTTTCTTACAGGGTTTGCTTATTCGTTTCTAATTAAAATAGTAAAGCGGTTGCTCTCGACTTCATCCACGTCTTCTTTAGTTCTTTGAGAATCCCACAGGAACCTAACATTTTTCAAGTTAAAAGTATTCAGCTCATAAACTATATGCGTACCGAATATTATTGAAATCCGTTCAGTAATGTATGTGTGAAAGCGTAACAACAAACTCATTATCGTATTTATAATTTTAGTTGGGATTAAGATTTTTTTTATAAACTAGCCGTGCTCCGCGGTTTCACCCGCGTTTTTCTCGTTTCCGTGGAAATACCGAGATAAAATATATAGGTATCAACTCTTAACATCCTTACACACGTTATAACTTTTAAACGAAATTTCCGATTGAGATGAAACAAAAAGTAATTTACTTCTAAATAATTACTCTTGATAACATAATGCTTCATTTCGTTAAAGATTAATATTACGATACATATTTAACGTAGTTTTTTTTCTTTAGACGATTTAATAATTATTTTGAACACAAGATCGGTTATTGTGATTAAACCATGATAGCTAGATATATGTTATCGCGGACTTTTTTTGTAGGTCTTAATGGGATCTACAAACCCGTAGTACATCATTTTGTTCTATTGTCAATAGTTTTTGCAGCGCACGCAAAAGTAGGTTTTTGATTTTACACCTTGTGTTACAAAATAGCAATTTTATTACGGATCCCTAATTTTGAAAAAAAAAATATAGCCTATAGCCTTCCTCGATAAATGGACTACCCAACACTTAAAGAATCATTCAAATCGGACCAGTAGTTCCAGAGATTAGCGCGTTCAAACAAACAAACAAACTCTGCAGCTTTATAATATAAGTATAGACTAGTGGCCCGCCCTCGCTTCGCTTCGGTGTAGAGCTGTAGTGTAAACTATAGTTTTTGTTCTCAGGCTTGTGCTATAAAGAATGACTTTATTTATATAATTACACGTGTTATTGTGAGTCAACCATAAAAGATAGACATATGCTGTTGCGGAATATTTTTTAGACAATTTTATGTAGAATATTTCCGTCATACATGATTTCTTTGTAACTTTAACCATTAAGGCTGCACCCGCGACGGAAGCTTAAAAAATGGAGTAACTTCTCCCGTTTTCCCAACATTTCCCTTCACTACTCTGCTGCTATTGATTGTAGCGTGATGAAAAGTATACTATAACCTGCCCAGGCGTATGAAGAATAATTGTACCAAGTTTCGTTAAAATCCGTTGAGTAGTTTTTGTTTCTATAAGGAACATACACACAGACAGACAGACAGACAAAAATTTTACTGATTGCATTTTTGGCATCAGTATCGATCACTAATCACCCCCTGATAGTTATTTTAAACATATATTTCATGTACAGAATTGACATCTCTACAGATTTATTATAAGTATAGATAAATATTTCCAACACTCACACCATTTAGCCTAGCCCCAAAGTAAGCACTGTAAGGCTTGTGTTATGTGATGCTAGGCTAACGGATAGAATACATATACTGTACCGATATAAGTATATTTATATAGAAATACATATTGAACATCCGTGAATGGAGTACAAACTCATCACACAAACATCTGCTCCCACCGGGATTCGAACCCGGGACCTCTCGAGTCGGCGACACTATGAAACCTGGCGTACAAACCACTCGGCCACGGAGGTCGTCAAAGTGATTGAGTATTAAACATCAATACATACCAAACATAAACCAACTAGTGGTGTGAGTGTTGGAATAATATTTATTTATTATTATTATAATCACGGAAAAACATCTTAGCGGATTTGGCACATCTAATTATAAAGTTTATTACCTGAATTGAGAATTAAAATACTTTTTATCCCGAAAAAAATAACTAGTATTTTGAGAATCCAACAGAAACCTTATATTTTCCCTGGTTAAAAAGTTTCCTACACCTTAATCCAGGGTAATCCCTATTTTCATTATACGTAAGGAACATTAAGAACCTTCTCAAAACATAAAATATTAAAACACTTAAAAACCGGCCAAGTGCGATGACGGACTCGCGCACGAAGGGTTCCGTATAATTATCTATATAACATTGTACACTATCTTCTATTTGATCTTTAATCTAGGCTTGCCTCTACTAGATGGAATTTGTAGCACCATGTAATCTACAGAACATTCCTCCAAACAATAGCGAAGATGCAAATATAATATTTATGAAAATTTATGATTAAAATGTTAAAAAAATATAAAAGAAAGGCCACTGCAACGTTTTTGTTTTACATCATGTTGTTTTTCAACAATAATTACGAATTAAAAATGTCTTGAAAAAAACGTATTTAAAACACCAATCAGCGTTTAGTGACGTCACTCCTGTTATGACAACTTATCTGAGGTTATGGTTGTAAAAGTGAATATTATTTTATGGGAATATCATCATCATCATCATCAACCCATGTTCGTCCACTGCTGGACATAGGAATATTAATTGCGTTTTTTTAATAAAAATGGAAGTTGGGTTTTTAAACTCCAGGAATTTACCAAGAGTTAGTGTTGACATGGTTCTAACTTTTTTTTTGTCTAAAGTGCAGAGTTATCAAGTGTAGAAATGAAAGGGACTAAATTACTACGGTATGTATAAATCATAGTTATTAAACTTTGTATTTTATTCAGCGGCTGCTACACATAGCAGTTATTTCAGCTCAACAAGAGAATCTTACGGCGATAACGCAATCAGCTATGTCCAAATTAAAAGAGATGGAGAATTATGTACAGTAAAAAATCGAGTTACTCCGGAGCATAAAGTACGTAAAGAAGGTTATCGTGTTATAGTTATTTTAAATAAAACGCAGAGCTTGGTTCAGTCCTGCCAATGTGAAGGTTGTGCCACACATTTTAAACTTTATCCAATTTTCGACGTCATTCTCCAACTGTAAAATTAAAAATATATTATAGACAGGTTTTGTAAGTATTAGGTAGGTTACTAACCCGTCAAGCAGATTAATTATGCATATAATAAGTATATTCGCCGACTTACGTCAAAGTGATCTTCACAGCATCGAATAATGGTCTTTGGAGAATAATAATTGTCATTTTTCTTCGCAGCTTGAAACCACTTTTTTCTCAGTTTTGGGTCAATTAAATTAATTCAACCAAAAGTCAAAAACAATTTATTTGGAAATTTTGTTGAAGTTGATGGACACATTGGCACAAAACATAAGTCAACACGTTTTTTTTCGGAATATTAGTGGTATTGTTATAATAACCTGATGTTGATGGATAATCCATTTTGAATTTTTAAAAAAAATATCTCGTAAGTCAAAAAAATATGCAAAGGTATGAAAGCCAGCGACGAACAAGTACAACCAGTGACAGACAAGAGTGACATCATCGGAATCATAGGTCCGTTTTCGCGCGAAAATTTAATCTGTCAATTTAAAACCGCATTTTTTCCGATAAATTTTATTTTTTTAATATATCAGTGGTTTATTCTACATGGAATTCTTTAAAATTAAAACAAAAATAAAAATTTTGCATCTTCCCTATTTTCTCCAAATAATTGTAAAAGTTCGCCGGGTCATCATATTATGATATCGATTAAAAAGCGACCGCAAAAAATCGAAAAATATTCGCGTATGTTGTTTTAAAGTGAATAATAACAAAATATTCTGTGAATATTTCAAGCGTCTACTTGTTGCCGTTATAAATATAGAGCAAAAACCAGATAAAAAATCACTAGCACGCCTTAAATATTTATTTTATTCTTTTATTGGTGTTAGCCGTTAAAGTAGCATTAAAAATACGTCATCTGTGAAAATTTCAATTGCCTAGCTATCACGGTTCATGAGATACATTCTGGTGGCAGACAGACGGACGGACGGTGGAGTCTTAGTACTAGGTAATGCGTAAAATCGATCTCTAATTATGGCGCGTAAGCAAGGGAAATACATACTTAAGTTTTCATTTTGATACAGAGATTAAACTTATTATTGCTATTATAAAAGTCATCGCATAGAATTTCTAATATAGGTAATTTTAAATAGTAATAACCGGTAAGTATTTTTCTGTCGGTAAGTAGGGTACCGGAGGAAGGGTTTTTGGTTTAGGTAGGCAATCAACGGATCAACAAACAAACAAACTTTTTCTCACTGCTAAAGATCGTCCATCGCTTCTGACTATAACAAAAAAAAAATACCTAAAAAACATAATTTTCTTTTTCACTACAAAAAAAATGTGTGGTTTTATGAAACCATGAAAATAAAAAAAGTCTCTCCTTGGCTTTAATTCGAACCCGGCCAACCGCGTAGGAAGCGAGATTTCTACCACCTTCACTCGGTCTATTTACTGAGTCACCGAAAAATGCATATGCCTGGCTTCAGTACGGTATAGTTCTATGGGGAAACTCAACATCTGTTCTATCAATATTTATATTGCAAAAAAGGGTGCATTCGAATAATTGCAAATATAGACAACTTGGAAAGCAGCAAACTTTATTTCATACAGTACAAGGTGTTAACGGTAGCATGTATTTATTTATATTTTGGAGGTATGTAATTATGTTAAAAATCATTTATAAGTATTTCCTATTTAGTCGCGCCTGCATAACTTACGTCCCCATAGCAAATTGGCCCTACCAATATCTAAACTCAAATTGGTCAAAGATGTGTGTCAAAATATACAACAGATTGCCATTGTCTTGATTAATAAATTAAGAGTTGTCTGACTGGGTTTAAAAACAAATTGAAAAGCTCCTTTGTTCTAAGGGCTACTATACACTGCAAGAGTATTTTAATGACAGGGAGCAGGGAAAAAGTTGCATTTTAATCCATAGGGACTAAAAGTGATTTGAATTAGGAATGTATATTTTTAGTTAAAGTTTCAATCACCAAAGAGATAAATCACGAACATGTCACAGGCTATATAAACACTTTTCGCGCGTTTTAAAAAAAATGTGAAAATCTCGCGTGAAGTTCATTTCGCCTTTTCATTTTCATTTGAGTACGAATGAACAAATCGACACGTATCTGTTGTAGGCTGGAGACGGGCTCCATACAAGTCCCCTCCCTTGGTCCTCGGTACTTTTACTGTCACGTTTTCTCTACATTTTTGTGTTTACATACGAATGTGACAAGCCCACCTCCTTATGAATATCTATAACTAATACTTTATGTTTTTTCAATACATAAAATAAATTTAAATCGGGTTTTATGGCTGTCGCCGACTCGAGAGGTCCCTCCCGGGTTCGAATCCCGGTGGGGGCAGATGTTTGTGTGATGAATACGAGCATTTGTACTCCGGTCATGGATGTTTAATATGTATTTATATAAATATACTTATATATGTACAGTATATGTAAACTCAAATTGGTCAAAGATGTGTGTCAAAATATACAACAGATTGCCATTGTCTTGATTAAAAAATTAAGAGTTGTCTGACTGGGTTTAAAAACAAATTGAAAAGCTCCTTTGTTCTAAGGGCTACTATACACTGCAAGAGTATTTTAATGACAAGGAATTAAATTGATGATTGTTAGTAATTTAATGTGATATAATTTATTTAATAATATAATGTTTAATATATTTAGTGCAATTTTTATGACATGGAATTTTATTAATTTTATTGATAAGTAAGATTTTTATTCTTTGATGTCATTTAAATTTATATTTATTAATAAAAAATTAAACAAACTAATTATAGCACATTGCTATGCCCTTACCGGTTTCGTTTAAGGATCTCAATGAACGATTTGTAATACCTCTGTACACCTACATGAAAAAGCAATAAATGTAATGCGACATGCTAAAGATGAAGGAAATTAGTGGCGGTCACTAAACGCGTCTACTTGTGGCTCAGTCAAGCCAGTAGACGCAGCCGCCTATCAGCGCCGCTAGTGGTTTAGTGGCTACCACTAAACGCGTCCACTAGTGGCTCAGTCAAGCCTCTAGGTACAGCCACCTATCAGCGCCGCTAGTGGTTTAATGGCGGTCATTAAACAAGTCCACTAGTGGCTCAGTCAAGCCACTAGTCGCAGTCACCTATCAGCGCCACTAGTGATTTAGTGGCTACCACTAAACAAGTCCACTAGTGGCTCAGTCAAGCCACTAGACGCAGCCACCTATCAGCGCCACTAGTGATTAACTGGCGGCCCCAAAACGCGTGGCCGCCACTAGTGGCTCAATGTGCGCTTGATCTTAATGCAAAAAAAAAAATATTAATCTTGTTTTGTTCTCAGTATCAGAGAGAACCTCTTTATGTAGGTAGTAAGTGAGACCATGGATTTAGGATTTCGCAATAGACGCAGTCGATTAAGTTATTTTTGTCTTTTATTACAGATCAAATTAAAATCATTGCTTCTCTGTTCCAAAACTATGGAGAGTACGTCAAGTTTTGGCTCGGCCCAGACCTTAACATAGCTGTGAAAAACCCCAGTGACATTAGAGTAAGTATTAGACATAAGTATAATGTTACACCATTGAAATGACGAGTACCTATTTAAATAACAATATTACTTTTTATTTATTTTAGTATGCTCGATTTATAAATCTTAAGATTTTTTCACTAGAAACCACTCTGTCTTCTTGCCTGAAACCTTGACTCTGTCTTTACTGAGTGGATTTTTTTCTAGTAAAAAAAATCTTTTGTATCATCTCTATTCGAAAAGAGCAAGTTTTTTTCTTTGTTGACAGGGAGCAGGGAAAAAGTTGCATTTTAATCCATAGGGACTAAAAGTGATTTGAATTAGGAATGTATATTTTTAGTAAAAGTTTCAATCACCAAAGAGATAAATCACGAACATGTCACAGGCTATATAAACACTTTTCGCGCGTTTTAAAAAAATGTGAAAATCTCGCGTGAAGTTCATTTCGCCTTTTCATTTTCATTTGAGTACGAATGAACAAATCGACACGTATCTGTTGTATGCTGGAGACGGGCTCCATACAAGTCCCCTCCCTTGGTCCTCGGTACTTTTACTGTCACGTTTTCTCTACATTTTTGTATTTCCATACGAATGTGACAAGCCCACCTCCTTATGAATATCTATAACTAATACTTTATGTTTTTTCAATACATAAAATAAACTTAAATCGGGTTTTATGGCTGTCGCCGACTCGAGAGGTCCCGGGTTCGAATCCCGGTGGGGGCAGATGTTTGTGTGATGAATACGAGCATTTGTACTCCAGTCATGGATGTTTAATATGTATTTATATAAATATACTTATATATGTACAGTATATGTATTCTATCCGTTACCCTAGCATCCCATAACACAAGCCTTATAGTGCTTACTTTGGGGCTAGGCTAATTGGTGTGAGTGTCGGAAAGAAAAAAAAAACAATAAAAATAAAGCTTAAGAGAGAGAGAGAGAGAGAGTGAGAAAGAGAGAGAAGAGTTTGTTTGTTTTGTTAAACGCGCTTGTTTTGGATAGTGCATATAATATATCGTTACGACTGAACCAGAGCACCAGTGAAAAATATTGCAAAAACGGGAATAAAATCCTTTTGTGAGCTTCCGCTGCGTGCGCTTTGTAAACGGTCAAAGTTACATAAAAATCATGTATGACGGAATTGTTTTCTTTTAAAAAGTCCGTGACAGCACATGTCTATCTTTTAAGAGTGACACACTATAACCTTTTTTCCTCAAATTAATGCAGGTGAAACCGCAGGGCAGCTCTAGTTACTAATAAATAATTATGATTTTATTTATTTTTTAAGCATTTAACTGCTAGATATTTAAATCTAAAGAAAAGTTTACTAGAAAAAAAAACTTTTTTTTTTTCTAGTAAACTTTTCTTTAATAAATAATTGTTATGTTTGTTCTTTTGCTTTTCATGTTGAAACATCCATACATGTTTTAAATTGGCCATACTTTTATTAACCTCAGTTTTTGTGAATTATATTTATTTATTGTAAAATCCTTCACTACCGCTATAATGGGTCACCCTCACTGCCGCTCTCATCATCAGCCTATTAAAGTCCCCACTGCTAAGGGCACAGGCCTTCCCTATGGATAGAATATTCAGATTGGGCCATGACCCACCACGCGAGCCCAGTGCGGATTGGTGGGTGCTAACGACTGCAGATGCAGCCGGGACCAACGGCTTAACGTGCCTTCCGAAGCACGGAGGAGCTCGAGATAGTAAATTTTTGGTCACCCATCCAATGACTACTATAATACCACTACTGCTATAATGGGTCTGAAACAAGTAACTTAATTAAAGTACAAACTAGCTGTTTTCGAATAGATGTAGTAGAAATATTATTAACAAATCTTTATGATAAGCCTAAAAACTCACTCCGCCTCACTGATTTCTTTTTCTTTTATTTTAGTTACTACTTACAAGTACCAACGTGAATAAGAAAGGTCCGCTGTATCTGTTTTTGGAACCTTTTATTGGACCTGGAATATTATGTGGAGGTAAGTTTAATTTATACTATAGTAATTACTATATTATTTTATTATTTAAGCATGGTGCTATGAAGAGTTCAGTTCTTTTTTGCCTCCCATTATTACCTTTAGTTTAATAAATTCAACTAAAACACACATTCCTTGCTTAAGAAAGGATATTATACTGTTAAATTATATTGAAATGAGAAAACTGCCTGGTTGTAATTGTTACCTTTACAAAATTTTCAGTCATATTGAACTTGTCTCTTCAAGAGGAGATTTTTTTTTTATGTTATCCCCTATAACATACGAGCAGACGGCTCACCTGATGGTAAGTGATCACCGTCGCCCATGGACACTTGCAGCACCAGGAGTATCACAAATGCGATGCCGGCCTTTAAGGAAGGAGTACGCTCTTTTTTTGAAGGTTCTTGGGTCGTATTGGTCCGGAAACACAGCTGGCGACAACATATTCCACAGTTTTGTCGTATTAAAGAGAAACTTGGACTTAGTGTCTTTTTAAACTTGCTCATGTATTTTGAAAATTGTTTACTGGATATTTCGGGGCTTTTGTATATTTTTGTTATTTTTTTTTATATTATGTGATGGAGGTTGACCTATCTACATGTTTATAAGTTTGATGTCAGCTGTAGGGGCCGTTACTAGGACCCTAACGACTGTCAATTAGTCACGGGACGATTGTCAGGAGATAATTATTAAAATACGTCAATATAATGTGAATGCCTTTATTGCACTCATATAATGTAATAGTACATTATGATATAAGTGCGGTAAGTTGAGAATTACATCCGAGGCGATATTGTTAGCCGAGCCGTAGGTGAGGGCTATAAGAAGGCAGAGGCTGTAATTATCAAACCGCACGTAATACATACGACGTTTTATAACACAGTTGCGAGGAAATAATACTACCTACGTACGTACTTTCTGAAAATGAATTTGCACCTTTGTTTGTTTTCCATAAGATCGTGCATCAACGCTTTTTGTAGGCAAAGGAACAAAAAGCGGCCAGTGTTACTTATACTGTTATTATAAAGTAAATTAATATTTTTGTGAATTTGTTACCGATACATGGTTGTAATTTATTGTCAAAATGAATCAAATTAAAGAATGAAATGTTTATATATTATTTTAATCTCCCAAAGTTAATTTTATTAAAAAAATGTTGGCTACCTTTCTGACATAAAAACTCTTTGCTAAGATTTAAAAAGTATCGTTCGTTTCTAGACGGAACATAATCAGCCGTGCGTTTTACTTTACATTGCCGTACGCGTGTGTAATGTAATAGATTATGATATTGAAATTGGTGCAATAAGAGACGCTTTACGAGCAAATGTGTTATAAAATATATTCTTAAAACAATTAGTGTGTCAACTATGTCAGCAGTTTAGAGTGCATGGACTCGGAATGTGAACTTAATAAAATATAATTAAAATGGCTGACACATCAGCTTTCAATTTGACGACACAGTATGAAATAATACAGGGAAAAAAAAGCAGCCTTTGCTGAATTTCTTGCGGGTTCTTCTCAGTACAAGGTCTCTCGCCGTAGATTTGCGAACCGATGGCGTAGTTTTGTACTTTCACATGTGCTTGTAAAAGCCTGAACTGAATAAATGTATATTGATTTTGATATATATTTATTCAGTTCAGGCTTTGATTTACAAAATAAAATAGTCTATGAACGTTTAATCGTACGTAGGTAAAAAAACTAGTGGCCCGCCCTCGCGAGAAGCCAATTCTGGGTACAGTATTTAAGGCAGGGTATAGGCTATATAACATCACGCTACAATCAGTAGGAGCGAAGCGTCGTTGAAAAATGATGAAAAAACGGGGTAAAAATATTCCATTTGTGTAAAAGGTTTAAGTTACATAAAAATCATGTATGACGAAATTGTTTCACTTTAAAAGTTTGATTAAATAGTCCGTCTTTTTCCTCAAATTAACGCGGGTGAAACCGCAGGGAACCTCTAGTTGTGAAATAACTGTAATAATTAGGGATAAGATATGGCGGACATTTTTGTAAATATCGATGTCCTTTATAAAACTTTATTACATCAATTAGCTCTATTGCCAATGACTTTTTGGTATTTTTTCACACGTTAAGTTACATTATCGAAGTTTTCAAACAGAACCCTTTTTTTTTTTTTTTGATACGTTGGGGAAATGCATTAAATTGCATACCACATACCCTAACTTTTTTTAAGACACTGCATAGCCTATGTTCGTCAGGTATAATGTATGATTCCAAATGTGAAAGTTATTTAAATCGCTCCAGTAATTTCGGAGCTTATTCAATACCAACAAACAATAAAATCTTTCCTCTTTATAATATTGAGTATCTATAGATATGGGACTTTATATATTTTTTTAATTACCCATATTTTATCCTTTCCTTGTATGTAGGTTACCGTTACTCATACTTCTTTACTTTTGTTTTAAATACACATTTTTTTTGGTATTTTTTTTGAGTAATAAAAAGGCTAAAATATTCGTCCTGATAGCGAAAGGCACCGGTTATATTCAAGCCAATAACAGGGACGAGGTGAATCTGGTGAATTAAAAACTTATTTTTTTATATAAATTTGTTCTGAAACTGGGCTAAGAACTCACGGAGCGGTTTTGCCACGCCCGCCGCGCCGTGGGCGACCGCATAGCTGATTTATTTCAAAACTCACGAGACCCTATATTTCCGCGGTCCCTGAACCGCCACAGTGGCTACGAGATCATGCGCCGCGTCTGCGGGGACCGCGTCACGTGCGCTTACGCAGCGGGTGCCGCAAATCACACAGTGAGTTTGGCTTTTGCGTTCTACTTGCAATTTGATATTTCACGAGAGTTGCGGTCCCAGAGTCGCGGCGGGTGCGGGCGGAATTCGCGCCATGAGTTCTTAGGCTTATATTCTGTAACAGTCATAATTTTCAGGATCCACATGGCGTCTCCATAGGAAGATCGCCACGCCTTCGTACAACAAGAAGGCAGTAGGACTATTCATGCAGGTCTTCAACGAGGAGTCGGAGGAACTCGTCAAGATTCTGTGCAAGAAAGGGCCGGAAACTTATGACGTTTACCATGATATCGTGCAGAGCACCACCAGCGCAGTTTGTCGTGAGTATCAATCTTTTTAGATAAATTTCAGAGAGGTAGGGCATAGAAATTGAGTCATAGGGTCCAAGGAGTTACCCCCGCCTTACAAAAGACCACAGTAAAATAACTACCTTTTGGTGGTGTAGTGTTCTGTCGGTGAGTAAGGTTCCAGTCCAGGGCTATTATATGATGTATAATAGCCCTTTTTTATATTACAATAGCCCTGGAGGACGGGGGACGAAGTAAAAGTATCATCATCATCAGCCTATTAATGTCCCCACTGGGCACAGGCCTTCCCTATGGATGGAATAGGGAGGTAGGGGCTATGTAAAATTGTTGTTGAAGTAAAAGTATGCATTGTGGGAATATAAAGCTTTACAATTGTAGTGCTCTTAATTCAGTTGGGATTGGAATCACATTCGAGTTTGCAGGAAGCAGACTAAGGTCCGTAATACAGAATGACAACTATTTTAAGTGTTGATCTTTACTTGAGTACTGTTAGAAAGGGATGTCGCTATGTGCTATATATAGCGACACCCCTTTGTAACTATGCTCAAGACTAGATCAATCACTGAGAATCTTCCTATAATACGGGCCTAAATGTTTCTAAAGTAAAACTTTGATTGCTTAGATCGCCATTTTTTTTTCAACTTCAAAATGTCGCATTACAATTTTAATCCTTTTGAAAGAATTTAACTCTCATCAACAAGCAGCAGTGGTTGAGTGGTAAAAAGCTCGCGGGCGGCCCGAGTTAGATACCAAAATGTCTACGACCCAAAAACATTGAGGCGATGTCTACTTGCATCAAGGTATCAATAAACCACAGCAAGAAGACACGCAGTGTGTATTCTATTTCCTCTTGGCAGTTTATTTTTTTTTTTGCTTTCCGATTTTTTTATTCGTGTTAAGGTACCAATATAATATTATTGCAACTAAAAATCAGCGAAACCAATGAAGAATTCCACTTATACGGACAATCATTAATATGGTACCCTATTAAGTGGATTTGATGCATTCTAATGTTTCTTGAAGGATGTGTGAAGGGAAAGAATACGCAAACAGATGTTAATATTTTTTAAAAGCTAATTTAGGTGCCTGGCATATCTATACATAATGTTTATGTTTAGCTAACTTTTAATTAAAAATATACATATATATAACTTGTTTTATAGAGACTCTAATGGGCCTACCGAAAGAAGAACTGAAAGAGATAAAATATTTGCAAGCAATCATTGAAGAAACACCTAAGTAAGTACAATGGAACTTTGTATCGCAATGTATAATATAGGGTAACTACACAATGTTATCAATCATCTCAAAACAATTGATGGATGGTTTGATGTAGATTTACTTAAACCAGGTTCTTTGGTCAATATTCATGAAGAGCTTATTATAGCAGTAAATACATATTAATACTCTGTAGACATTATAACCTTGGCTTCGGCGTAATGAGAAGGGTAGGGCACCATGTATAGCGGGTTATACCACAGAACACAGAAAGAGGTTTGAAGGGTCATCATAGACCATTTGTACGAGAACCGATGTCGCCGGCTCACCTCATTACACTTCCACCTTATAGATAATAATAGCTCATCAAACGACGCAACTTCAAACAATCGAACCAATATTCACACTCGAGAGCAACGACGCAATCAGAACCGCTGCGGTTGGGCTATACGCTGCGGAAAGTATCATGTCCTTCAACAGTGCGCGGAGGTCGTGGCGATGGGTGTTTTAATATTCTGTCAGATCAGAAATTAATATATCTTTAAGGTGAACGCAGACTTGGCCGCACCGCTGTCTCCGCAGTCCCCGCAGTCATCGCTTTGTGTTAATGGCCTCGCACATTTATCCGCACCGCAGTCACTGCAGTCGTTCCTGTCACCGCACGCATCGGACTTGATTTCATTCATTCAGTTGATGCGAATAACGTCATCCGTGCCGCGCTTGCCGCTGCGTCCGCTGCGTGCGGGCCGGCGTTGGTCATCAGCTGCGGCTTGGGGAGTTCGGTTGTTTCAGGGACTGCGGCGACTGCGACGCGGGTGGGTGTGCGAGGTTGCATAGAACTTCATATGAAGAATTCAAATGCGAAGACTGCGGCGCGTGCGGTGCGGCCAAGTCTGCGTTCACCTTTATTCAAATTGGATAGTACAACTCTTTTGAATAGATTAGTAGTACTTTTTTTTGACATTGCATATTCTCCATTATATTATCTTTAAATTAATTTTATTTTTTTTTTGATGTCACTGAACCTTATTCATGTAATTATCTTCTTTAACCTGTAATATTGCACGTTGACATTCAACAAAATATGCTGGAAACTAAAGAAATACCTACTAACTTTTGTAACCATATTGTGGCAAATAAATTATTATTATTTGAACTGATTAATTATGTTTGTTTCTTAGGTTTTCACGCACATCACTCATTAAATAAAACTAGTTTTTTCACGGGTTAATACACAAAACTTTATTTATTTATTGACGTTTCGCAGCCTTTACAGGCAGCCTTATTCCGACGTTTCGTGCATTAACTCGTGAAAAAACTAGTTTGATTAATTATTTTGGGTTTGATATATTAATTATCGCTGTTGATTTAATAATTAAATGACTTATGTAATTTTGCTTGATATCTTTATAAGCATTGACTAATATATAAGCAAAATAATAATAAATATTAGCACGCTATCTAAGTTTATATAGCGGCATCTGAAAATCAGTGCCACATCCCAGGATAGGGCACAGGCTGATATGAGGCCTTTCAGCAAAACTTTGTATATTTGTTTCTTAGGTTTTCACGCACATCACTCATTAAATAAAACTAGTTTTTACGGGTTAATGCACGAAACTTTATTTATTTATTGACGTTTCGCAGCCTTTTCAGGTCTGCATCGTCAGAATAATGATTTTTTATTTAAAATTGTCGAGCTACCTTCGAAAGACTTATTTTGAACGTTCGGTTATTTCATTGGAAGATTTTTAAAATTTTATTGTCTATGTATGAATTTATTATTTAATTTACTTAATAAAGTATTTTTATTTAAAATTCTTGTTTGTAATTTTGAGTTTATTTATTTGACCCTAACTACCGTAAACTACCACCGGTTCCAAAATTGGGAGACCTTCCTGAGAAGAACCGGCGAAACAAACTCAAGAGAGGCTTTCTATCTCCTTCTTATGTTAAATTATGCAAGCAAAAAGAACTAATAGTATCTGATGGTCTTGCAGTGTGTGCTCGGGGTTGGGATTTTATCTCCTGTATAATAGGTTCCCAAGCTGGTGGTATATACCAACCATCTTCCCTATTGAAATTTGGATATTTTTTAATCTCAATAGCCTCGCGCATCATTCGAGGAACGAACCGCCGCTCAGCTGCAAGGATCTGTGGTCTATCAAATCTAATGTAGTGGTTTGGTCCCCCTAATGCATGTTCACACACTGCAGATTTATTTTCGCGCCTATGTTTCATATCTGCGATATGTTCTTTTACCCGAGTCCCTATACTCCTCTTTGTTTGCCCGATGTAGGAGAGCCCACAGTCGCATTCAAGTTTGTAGACACCAGCAACTTGAAAGGGTATATTGCACTTGACTGGTCGTAGAAACTGGTTGATCTTCTTTGGCGGCTTGAAGTATGTATTGATTGAAGCACGCTTCAGAATCCTCCCAATCTTGTCAGTGACTCCTTTCATGTAAGGTAGTATAGCAGGTTGTCGGTCGACTGTGCTAGGTTTGACGCGACTGTGACGGCGGCGTGGTACATTCAGGTTATTATCTTTCAGTACTTGCTCGACATGCTGAAGTTCAGCTGCCAGGTGTTGTTCGTCACAGACACCCCGTGCTCTCTGAAACAAATAAATAAAGTTTCGTGCATTAACCCGTAAAAACTAGTTTTATCAAAACTTTGTATTTTATTGTAGGTAATTGTTAACTTATGTTATTTATGTTTTGCTGAAATAATTGAATTTCCTTTTTCTTTCTTTCTTATTTAATTTAAGGCTATTGAAGGGATTTGGAATTCCCCTGGGGAATTTCGGAGGCAGCTCGGTTTTAACAATCACTTAACTTATTTCAAATTCAGTTACTTTATGTTTGATGATTACTCCGATGCAAGTGAGAGGGTTTAATTTTAATGCAACTTTCTAATCAAATTTAAAAGATTTTTTTTTCTTTTTAGAATTTACGATCTTATCTTTAGGAAGATGACGCTGTGGTGGCTCCAGATACCGCTTGTGCTATGGTTGACGGGTAACCTTAAACTACAAAACTATTATATGAAGTTGGTTGACGACTTCAGTGAGGAAGTTGTGATGAGAAGGCGGAAAGCTTTGGAGAAGAACGTGGGCCCTGAGGAAAGCATGGGCGTTGTGGACCGGTACATACTAAGCAAAGAAATGTCCCATCAGCAGATTAAATGGGATAGCTTTACACTGTTCACTACTGTAAGTTTAAGTTTTTCGTGATATATTCACTTTTTTTAGAAATACGCACGTTGATATAGTTCTGAGGACCAAGCACAAATTTTGACAGCTTTGTAATCGTATTGTCATCGTCTAATTTTGTATGGAAGGAGCCAGGTTGTTCTTACGTTCGGAAGGGGCGCGGCTTAATTTTCATAGAAACTTTAAAGATGCGATACAATTACGAAGCTATCAAAATTCGTTTTTGGGCCTCTGAAATGAAACCAATGAGAGTGGTTCACAAACGTAGGATATCTATGTGTATTATATGAGTAAAGAAGGCGGGCCCTTCATTGAAATACTATTTGTATTTCCTAAGTGATTCGAGTAAAACTTTTTCTAGTTATATTTTCTTTAGATTTAAACATCAAGCAATTATATGCTTTAAAAATAAAAATTATAACGAGTAAAACTTGTTTGCACGGGGCTTTAACGACTTTTCAATGCAATCAAGTTTTGAGAAGATCTTCAGACCGGAATCACCAGCAAACCCGACACAAAATAACAATCAAATGGAAAACAAACAAAAAATCATACATAACGACAAATATAAACAACAAAATATAAATTTATATGAATTTAGTGCAAATTCATGTAGATATAGTATAGTTTCATAATTTAGCATAACCGTTACTAACTATACGTGGAATAAATAATTTACCCACTTCAAATTCTATTTTCGCGACGAAAAGAAGATACCTAGTCCACGTCCCTCTCCGAGAACCCCTTTTGCCCATAACCGATATTACCTCCTGATGTAAAGTGCAAGTTGAGTCCTGTCGCAAATATAGATGATGCGGCAGAAAGTGTGCCGCTCCAGCCATCTTCACCTGACCGGCCTGAACCCGATTCCCTACCCCGCGGGGCCCAGGAACCTTTTTTTAATGCCTGGGAACTATCCTATCGCATCCTTCAGCCACCGAGGAAGCAAGAAGGTATCTGCGGACTCCTCCCTTCTCCCTTTATCCAACCCTAGATCTCGATGAAATGAGCAGAGCCCTACCCAGTAAAAATCAGACAATACTCTTACACATGGCACGCATTTTGAGGACCAAAGTCCCCACAGTGCGCGCCAGGAATGGGGTGTGGTCACGAATGACCGCGGAAGGAACCTACTCAACAGCAGAAACACAACACCATCGAAAGGTAGTGTTATTTTACTGTAGTCTGCTGTAAGATGGAGGTTGCTTCCCCAGACGGGCGCTCCAATCCGAGTGGGAAATCTTCTCTTATAACATATATAGAAAAAAATAAGTGCATTCTTTAAATAGGATTCTAGGTATTCTTAATTTACAGAGTCAAGAAGCAGCCGCCAAAATTGCATCGGGTGTCATTATGATCCTGGGATTACTACCCGATTGGCAGGTGAGATTGATCATAGTTTTTTTTCCCTAATCATCAGCAGCCTATTAATGTCACCAATGCTGGGGCACAGGCTTTCCCTATGGATAGAATAGGGAGTTTGGGCCGTGACCATCACGCGGGCCCAGTGCAGATTGGTGGGTGCTAGCAACTGCCAATGCAGCCGGGACTAACGGCTTAAAGTGCCTTTCTGAAACACTGTGGAGCTCGAGATAATAAGTTATTGATCACCCATCCAATAACCGGGCATTGCGCAAGTTGCTTAATTTTCGCGAAGGCGCCAACCACCTGCACAGTCGAGATGCTCTTAGTTTTTTCACCTAACCTACTTAAAAACAACAATTGTAGCTACTGCATCTCATTATTATTGTAGATTTTTTGTAAATTTCTTGTCGTTTCCGATCCTTTTTGGGGTAACAAGACAAGTAAGATGTTCAATCCAACCAATTCCTATAAACCCTTAGCGTTTGCAAATTTTAATTGGTTGTAAAGCTTCTTAATATCTTTTTCATACTCGTCAAATCCACAAAAAACACCGCCCAATAACAGACTGTAGGAGAAAATCTTTTAATGCAAACGACGATGCCAAAATTGATTTTACAAACTTCGATTGAGTTGAAGTAGATTATACTTATTAGTGATAAAAAAGGGAAACTTGAGTATCGTGGAACACTCGGTTGGAACGCACGTACGTACACGAAGCAGACTGTGACTGAAAATTTTAGTCTGAGTTGCACCACAGATTGTGTTAAAAGTAAATCTCTTATATATAAAATTCTCGTATCACGGTGTGCGTAATTGAAGTACTCCGAAACGGCTCGACCGATTTTTGTGAAATTTTATATGCATATTCAGTAGGTCTGAGAATCGGACAATATCTAATTTTCATCCCCCTAAATGTTAAGGGTGCTCCACCATTAAATTTTTTTTTTGGTCAAATTTTTTTTTATGACACATCATACAAAAATACATACAACCCAAAATTTTCACCCTTCTACCGCCAACCCCTATTTTTTTATGGCAGTACGAAGTTCGCTGGGACGGCTAGTTTTACTATAACTTTATCCGGCCTCGCTTGGATAGTTATTATCACTATCAAATTTTGACTTCATTTTGGCTATCGTCCAAAGGTGCAACCTATTCTTTACTTTTTTTTCGCCTAGCTCCCATCCGCCAAGTCTGTACCGTCCGAAAAGGAACTTCATCCAATAAGATTATTTTACTGCCTATTTATTCTGGGGCTAAATTAGCTCGACATTTAGAAAACGAGTTATTACAAAATGTGAACCTGGAATAAAATTTAACATACCACAGGTACGCACTACTGCTGTCAAGATTTTATCACAACGTGAGCAGGTGATTAACCTTGCAAACTCGATATTTAGTCACGCAATCGGACAAAAGCTGAGTTATAAATTATGTTTTTAATGTTGACATTGTGATGTTTTACGTAATATGTAAATTAATTGATTTTAGCGGTCAAGGTGCGGACCAAAGTGGACCTTATCTTATCACCTTTAGTGATAACACTCGAGAGCAATGAATTCGGGAATCCTAAAAATCTCGCAAACTAAGAACGCTAGTTTAATGAAATAAATTGTGTTTAATAGACAATTAAATGCTCCATAAATAAAAGTAATAAAATTTATAATTCACCACATTTAATTTACATAAAAATACATAAAGAAAAAAACTGGCTGATCTCCCCTTAGAACAAAAATAGGAAACAAGAAATTTTTTGACAACCTTACGATTTTCATGCATCTTAATACTTCGTATTGCCTCCTCGTGCTTTCATTACTGCGTTTTACCCGGTTTGGCATGCTGTACATCAAGTTTCTTATACGATTTTGGGGAATATTCTCCCATTCCTCTGTGAGAGCAATATTGAGTTCACGAAGCGTAATTGGGGAAGGGTTTCGTTGTTTTACGCATCTCCCAAGCTCGTCCCAAGCATGTTCGATTGGGTTGATATCCGGGCTGCGTGCTCGTCACTCCATATGAGTAATGTTCATCTCTTGAAGGTAGTCATTCACAATCTAACCTGTATGAGGTTGGGCATTGTCATGCATAAAAATAGCATCCTCACCCAATTTGACCATAAATAGACCAACGTGTTCATTCAAGATTTCTTTCACATATCTCTCGCTAGTTAAAGAGCCGTTTTCTATGAACACCAGTTCTGTGCGACTCAAAGAAGAAATTCCGGCCCACACAAGTACAGACCCACCACTGTAGGCCACTTTTTCTTCGATGCATGCTTGCTTCAATCTTTCCCCAGGTCTTCTAACTGTGTCTTCCATCGTGCTTGTAGATCATATATTTTAATTCGTCGGAGAACATAACTTTTGACCAATCATCAATAGTTCAATTTAAGTGGTTCTGGGCATATCTTAGTCTTGAAATACGATGCGTGCTCCAGTTTAGGGCCGTTTGCAGGTCTAAGTGGTTTCAAGATAGCTTCAGAAGTCGTCGTCTTACTGTCCATAACCTTGGGTTACTTCCTCAGAGGCGTCGACACTGATTTGTAATTTCAATTTCTAAGATGTGAGAAAGCGATTTCGAAGCATGGTGTTCTCCAAGTATTAATCTTCTCGTGCTATGGTACACCTGGTTCTGCCTTTTCCTGGTCTGTGTAGGTTAGAACTAGTTTCCTCGTAACGCCGGAGAACTCTTTGTACTGTTAACAGTGACACACCGACAGTCCTGCATGTATCGCGCTGACTCCGGTAGGTTTCTCGCATTGTGAGAATTCTGGTGCATTCTTCAGGTGTAAGCAACTTGATTACAGCTTGATTAATTAATATTGAACACTATCGACATGGTTTATATGAATGATAAATGACAAATTAGAAAAAAAAGCAGAAATTTCGTAGTTCCATCTTCGAAAGTCTCCCTTTTCCAAATTCGATATTTTTATGATATAACTTTAAAATAACAAAGAAGTTTTAATATCTTCATTGAAGAAGTATTTAATTATCTATTAATTAGAATTTATTTCATTAAGCTAGCATTCTTAGTTTGCGAGATTTTTAGGATTCTTTAAGTGATCCGGATTCATTGCTCTCGAGTGTATTTTTTGTTCTTAGGTTAACTATTTTTTCTGTTTCTATTAATAGTTTTTTTTATTGAAATGAATCATACTAATATTATAAATGTGGATGTTTGTTACTCAATGACACAAAAACTACTGAAAGGATTTGAATGACATTTGGTACGCATATAGTAGTTTATGCTCTGGATTGAGACATAGGGTACTTTTTATCCCGGACAAATGTTAGCTTAGGTTAGATTTTCAAAAACTAAAGTCAACGCGGATGAAGTCGCGGTCGGGTGCCAGTTATAAATACCCTTTGTTATGTAATAAAATTACCTTTTTTAATTCCTTATTAAAAAACCGACCAATTTAGAGTTGAACTCAACGGCCGAGGGTTCCGTTCAAATTTGTAGAGACATAAATGGTTGTATCTTTTTTCCCGTTAACATAGAAGTTAGATTTTTTTCACAGCTTCAGGGTCGGTTCCTTTGGCCGTAGATCTGAGTATATGGTTGTAATTTAAACTTAATACCTTTGCGCGTTCCCGAGATAAAGCGTATTGACTGACAGACGGTGTCTTGTTTACGCGTTGACCAAAAAGTTTGGTTTTATCACAGCTTCAAGAGTCCGTAGACATGAGTATATGGTCTAAATTTAACCTTTATACCTTTACGTGTCCCCGAGATAAATGTCTTGGTCTCGATATTGTTTTCACGTTAACTTAGAAGCTTTAGAAGTTCGATTTCATCACAGCTTCAAGGGACCGTAGACCTCAGGTCTCTCTACACATACACTTTATTAAAAAATACTAAAGTCTATGTCGTAATCCTTATTCTTCCTAAACTTTCGTCTTGTTACAGAAAAAAGTTTACGATGAGGTAATAACGGTGGTCGGACCCGATGCGGCCGTGAATCCAGAACACTTGAAGCAACTGCACTACTTGGACATGGTCTACAAGGAAACACTGAGATATTTCTCCATTGCCGGCCTCATACAGAGGACCGTTGTGTCCGAAATCGCTATCAAAGATGGTTTGTACCCCTTTTTTTTTGCAGAGATGTAATAAATATAGACCAGGGTCGATAATTTTTGAGACCAAAAAAAAATTATAGTAGGATGAAACCCATTAGAAAAGGTAGAGAATATGACAAAATTGAAAGGAAAAATAAATTACGGGCGATCTGAGGTCGGGAAGGGGGAGGGGGTGAGTTTTTAAGGGTAAAAAATGGTTAATCTCGATTTCCGGTAAAACTGCAAGTCCTATGAAAAAAAGTTAAATGGCAAAGTTGTAGGTAATAAAAAGATCTACAACTTTTGAATCGACACTTTTTTCACATAACCTCAAAATTTATGTGAAAAATGCGAATAACCGAGTTTTTGGTTTTTGATTTCTATTTTTTGCAAAAAATAATATTTTTTCACGAAATTTGGTGAAAACTTACCTTTGTATGTCCCAAACATACAGTATTTTTTTTGATTTAAAATATTCATTTTTTCACCTTATTTTGACTTAATATCGAAAAAGCACCCTTATTTTCAATCGAAAATTCTCACGTCAAAATATCTGCTTTTTTAAAAAAGTTAGGGTGGTTTTGTTTGTTGAAATCTCTACTTTCTGATGGTATAAAAAATATATACACTGCTATGGTAAATGTTCTCAGAAACTGCAAATTAATAATGAAAAAAACTCCAATCCGAAAAATTGATTTGAATCATTATGTATAATTTTGAACTATTTATTAAAATTTACACTTTAATTACTCGAAAAACGTAAGATTTCATGTTATATTGATAAACAGAAAAAATACAAATCCATAAAACATGCAAAAATAGTTGTTGTAAGTAGGTATTAAAAATAGGATTTTCGGATTCGAGTTTTTTTCATTATTAATTTGCATTTTCTGAGAACATTTATCATAGTAGTGTATATTTTTTTATACCATCAGAAAGTAGAGATTTCAACAAACAAAAAACACCCCAACTTTTTTAAAAAAGCAGATATTTTGACGTGAGAATTTTCGATTGAAAATTAGGGTGCTTTTTGGATATTAAGTCAAAATAAGGTGAAAGAATGAATATTTTAAATCAAAAAAATTACTGTATGTTTGGGACATACAAAGGTATGTTTTCACCAAATTTCGTGAAAAATATTTTTTTTTGCAAAAAATAAAAATCAAAAACCAAAAACTCGGTTATTCGCATTTTTCACATAAATTTTGAGGTTATGTGAAAAAAGTGTCGATACAAAAGTTGTAGATCTTTTTATTACCTACAACTTTGCCATTTAACTTTTTTTCATAGGACTTGCAGTTTTACCGGAAATCGAGATTAACCATTTTTTACCCTTAAAAACTCACCCCCTCCCCCTTCCCGACCTCAGATCGCCCGTAATTTATTTTTCCTTTCATTTTTGTTATATTCTCTATCTTTTCTAATGGGTTTCATCCTACTATAATTTTTTTTCACTTTTCACCATTTTTAAAATTATCGACCCTGGTCTAATACTCTAAAAATAGTATCTAAAATACAAGATACTAGGTAGTCAAGTATTTGAAATACCAGATACAAGATACGTATTTTCTAAATACTTTTTTAGGATAAAAATACTTTTTCATAAAAAAATACATTTATATTTCTTTTAAGGTTTATTTAAGAAGGTAAATTGTATTACAATGCAAAACATTTCTCTAAGTTTAAAGAATTGGTTTTGCTAAAGTCCGAATTTGATGAAATTCATCCGCTCCGAATTGGAGCGCACGTCTGAGAGAGGCACCTTACAGAACCCACCGTAAAATAACACTACAGTGGTGTCGATTCTGGCGTGATTCCCTAAACTTAAATCTAAATTTAACATCAGTCTCTCCTTTAATTCTGTTTAGAGAATAACAAGGATACACTGTTGTCAAATTTAAGTTTAGGTTTAGAGAATCATGTCAGAATTGACACTAGTACCAGGCCATTTATAAGTTGCATGGTGCTTTAGAAAGAGATACTCGGCTACCTTCGGCTTTGTAGAGCGTCATCTCTGTCACACGTAACACTAACAGTCCGGTAACTATTAAGAGCTGTTAAAACTTTTTGACGTGACAACGTCTTAAATTAGGTTGCGGCTGGGAGTCACTTATGAAAAAGTGTAACGCTCGGTAACGTTACGATGAGTCTCTCGTGTTAAGTTTAAGTTTACATGTACAATGTTTTAGTAAACAAAATATATTTCTATAGTTAAAATTTGTGCAATTCTTATTTTCATTCAATTCCTTGTTCCTATTGTGCAATTTAATTATATTCATATCAATAAATATTCTACCGAGAAAAAGACGTTGTCACGTAAAATCTTCGCCCGTAAAACCGACTTTACAGGCAACCATTTTTTTTTTATGATTTTTTTAGAAATAAAACAAAAAACAACATATATGTACTATGTATGTTGATTTATTTATTTTAATGAAAAACTATAATTTTTATTTCCAACTAAATAATAAAATCCAAAAAACTAATAGCTATGCGAAGCCTCTCTATTCTCCATATCGCATCCGTCATTCGTCATTTTACTAATCAGATTCTAAATTCTCAATTCTTTCCATATCACTATGTTTTTTTTATAGCGAGGTAGGCAAATGACTCTACCCCACCTGATGTTAAGTGGTATGGGAGCTCTCAACGTCGTTATCGCTGTCACTATCGCCCGTATTTATCACCAGCCTATCAGTATTAACTGTCTATTAAAAAATATTCAGTTCTTCGATATTCATTTTCACATTTTATTGCGTGTTCACAAACATTTTTTCCACTCCTTAGCTCTAATCATGTTTACTTTTTCAGTCAATAAATTGTTAACCGAATTCAAATTCATATCCACATTTCAAGCGGCTACACAGCCCTTTTAATTGATACCATATATTTTCAATAGGATTGAAATCGCAACGTAGTGTGCCCATGTTCTGCAAGTATTTTGTCTACGGAAAACTGTAAAATTTTCCTTGTTAACTGGAATGTTAAATTAGGGATGGGTCTCTCTACATATTTGTTATGATAAGGTGCGTTGTCGATAACCAGAACGGAGTTGTTGGGTATATTTGGTATTAATTGATTAAGCAGCCATTTGTCATAGTTTTCATTATTCATCTCTTTGTGGTAATCAACTGTGATATCTGTGGATTTATATGTTAAAAAAGCTCCGGGAACAAAACATTTTTCGTTGCCTTCATTTGAAATTGGCTTCTTTGCTCCTTTTTAGGGTTCCGTAGCTAAAAGGCAAAAAACGGAACCCTTATGGATTCGTCATGTCTGTGTCTCCGTCCGTATGTCATAGTCATTTTTTTCGGAACTATAGGAACTATTCTGTTGAAACTTGGTAAGTAGATGTATTCTGTGAACCGCATTAAGATTTTCACACAAAATTAAAAAAATTGCATTAAATTTTGGGGGTTACTTGTTATTTGTTGTGGGCCCCCGTTTCCGCACGTAGGCTCCGTACTTGGTCCATTGTGCGTGCAGGGTATGTTGGGCTAGCTAGCTCAGCCAGCCCAGCTCCTTCCAGAAGCGCAGTAGCCTCCTGGGGCTCTCACAGGCTTCTAAGAGCGTCCTCGGCTTCCTGAGGATTGATGCCCGGTGTTCTGCAACGCTCGTGCATTCCAGGATCACATGAGCGGCCGTTTCATCTGCTTCCAGACATCCTCTGCATAAAGAGCTATCTGTAACGCGTATGGTTAGTAAATGCTTGTTAAGTACGCAGTGCCCTGTTATGGTGCCTAGCATTACTCGGAGATCATTTCGGTTGAGATTTAGTAGTTTTCTAGTTAGTCTGATGTTGAGGCTGGGAAAAATATCCTTAGATTGCCTGCAGCCCTCGGTATTCGCCCAACGGGTGTTATGGTTCTGTGTGGTTTGTTGCCGCACCCATGTACGAAACTGATTGAAAAGTAATGGCAGAAGTGGCTCAGGGCCTTCCACTCTCTGTGATGATCCCCTTCTAGCTAGTTCACAGAACCGCTATGTTCCTTGATCCATTGGAGGATAACCTTGTTATCCGTTGCTATGTACTCCAATGCCAGGTGGCATTCGTATACTAGCCCAGAAGTTTTGCTATTACTATCTAGGGCTCTTAGTACATGCAAATTTTGGGGGTTCCCCATACTCAGGCTTGATGAGTTAAACCTTAAAAAAGATGTCATTTTTATGATTATAAAAAAAAGATTTAGTACACGAGATCGCGCGGAACCAATTTCAAGTAAGTGATTCCAGACTTTTGCTCGCGAGTGTAGTTTAGGAGTCCATCCCGAACAAACAACGTGACAAAATTGAAAATATTGTATACGCAATAAGTGTTAATTAACTTCTCTGAGTGCACTAAGACACTTAATATCTAAGTCGTATTTAGATTTTGCTGTTTTTCTTTTTATCAGGAGAAATCATTCTACCAGTGGGCACATCGCTGTTGATCCCCATCCACGAACTGCACCGAGACCTCAAAAACTGGGAAGATCCGCTGAGATTTGACCCCGGCCGCTTCCTGCCCGAAAACGTGCAGAAACGGGACCCCAACGCCTTTGTACCGTTCAGCTTAGGACCCATGGATTGTTTAGGTAAATATTCTAAATTTGACATGAGTCTATGTAGTTATAATTTTAATTTTTTAAGCATGTCACTGCTCGATGTTTAATTCTAAATAAAATATTACTAGAAAAATCCACGCGGACCAGGCAGCAGAGGGGACTCGAACCCACACCCTTCGCTATCCGGGCGATTGCACTGAACAATTATGCTACCGCGGCCCTGATGGCCGTGTTGACTTCTTTTTAGCCTTTCTTAAGTTGCAAAGCTCTCTTCGCATTGTAGGTAACCCACAATGTCAAATAAATACTTTTACAAGTATTAAACATTTGGAAGAAGAAATAGCAATTATAGTTATATATTTCATTTTTTAAACATATGAGTTTATATGTTTAACTTTCTATCTTTAACATTAACAAAAACTGGGACGATCCACTGAGAGTCGACCTCGGCCGCTTTCTGCACGTTTTCGGGGCAGCCCCAGCGCCTTTGTACTAGTCAAATTAAGATTCATGAATTGTTTAGCCGAATATCAAGCTGTTTCATTTTCTAACTTTGATATTCACAACAACTGGGAGGATCCGTTGAGAATCGACCCCGGCCGCTTTCTGCCGTTAACGTTTTTGTTCCATTAAGATACGGGCCCAGAGAATGCTTAAGTAAATATAAGGCTACATAATTTTCAAACTTTGTCATTTAGGTACAACAAGAAGTCAATAAATGCCGCTTTACCACTTAAAAAACTGTTTTATTAAAGGCTTGCATTTTTTATATTAAAAGGGTGGCAAACATTCTTATGACTCGCGTGATGGTAAGCGACCACCATAGCCTATAGACACTTGCGATACCAAAAATATCAGTCGCACCGTTGCTTGTCCTGATCCAATCCCCTACCCCGTGGAGACTTGGAACCTTACTCAAAGACAGAATACAACATCACCAAAAAGTAATGTTATTTTATAACACACTAGTGTCCCGCCCTCGCTTTGCTTCGTTGTAGAGCTGTAGTGTAGACTATAGTTTTTGTTCAAAGGCTTGTATTTTATACATAATGACCTTCTTCAGAATAATTATAAACCTTCCATTCCAAGTAAAAAAAATGTTGCGTAGTTTAGGACCCGTTGTACCGAATGCAACATTGCTCTGCTGTTCCGATTTGAAAAAATATTTTATATTGGACAGTGCATATATCCATGAAGGCTATAGACATTATATTTCCCGGCTACGACCAGTAGCAGCGGAACATCGATGAAAAATGTTGCAAAAACGGGTAAAAATATTCCATTTGTGAGATTTCGTAGCGTGCGCTGGGTAAACGGTTAAAGTTACACAAAAAACATGTATGACGGAATTCTTTCCCTTTAAAATTTCTGTAAAAAAGCCCACGACAGCCTATGTCTATATTTTAAGTTTGACTCACTATAAACCTTTTTCTTCAAATTAACGCGGGTGAAATCGCAGGGGACCTCACTCTATTAGTTAGATATATGTGACATAACTCTAATAGTTAGATATATGGTATCAGGGACTTTTTTATAGATATTGGTATCCTCTATAAAACTTTAGTACATCACTTTGCTGTATTGTCAATGACTTCCGCAGCGTTTGCGATATCAGAACCCTAACTTTTTTGAAAATACACTATAGCCTATATTAATCAGTGATAATGTAGCATTCAAATGGTATAAGAATTTTTATAATCGATCCAGTACTTTTTGAGCCAATTCGTTACAAACATACTTATATATGTTACGCTCAAAGATCGAAACCGCTCAGTGAGCGGAAAAATAGCTCACAACGCGTTGTGGTCACAGTAAAACATCCACATAGCGAAATTCGTGTTATGGCTCTAATGAAAACGCGCACGACGTGTTGTGGCAATCACAGAAAGACCATATAGCGAAATTCGTGTCGTGGCTGACATGCTATTCAATCTCAACGCGTTGTGCCAATGAAGAAAAGCCATGACGCGTATGGAATATTATTTTATTACGACGCACACTCTTTCCGATATAGATCCTACTAGGCCTAGGCTGAAAACGTTTTGGTAGATAGATGTCTTTAGGAAAAAAAAAATATTTTATAAAATCACTGTATAACGTGTTTGTCATTATTAAATATGTTATATAATTATATAAATTAAAATAAAACGATATTTGTTATTTATTGAGATTACTTTATATTTAAAAAAATCAACGTATTAAGTAATTTATTACTGAACATAAAATATTAAACATTTGTAAAAAATAATTAGGGATTTTAATTTTTATGACAATTTAAAATTCTTTGAAGTAATAATAATATTTAACACAAAGATAAATGTTTATTGATCACCAATAAACAACAACAATGTAGGTACTTTAATCAATTACTTATATTAGAAATTACTATAATTGCGAAAAATAAGTATTTGTTGCTATTTATTATTACAGGAACTATTACTGTGGCATTTTGAGTTGCATTTTATATTCTTGGAGCGACACTTGCACTTTTTATCAATACAGTATCTTTTGCAGTGGCACATTATAAACCCTTGCTTACTTCCAGATGATAACATAGATGCTGAGCGAAGTGTGAATGACGAAGTCGAGGGCACATCACAAGTGTTAATAAAGTTGGTTTCAGAAAGTGTAAACTCATTACGTGCAAAAAGTCTACTGAATGTACCTTCCTTGTTTCCTAACTGGTAGGGACCTGATGGATTAATGCTCATAACAACACATAACGTTCCTAGGTGCTGCTCGTCCTCTATCAACTTACAACCTGTCCGGCGTGATATGATTAAAACAATGAATGCTCACAACGCGTCATGGCTTTTCTTCATTGCCACACTTGTAAAGCGTCTCTTATTCACCAATTTCAATATCATAATCTATCACATTACACACGCGTGTGGTAATGTAAAGTAAAACGCACGGCTTATTATGTTCCGTCTAAAAACGAACGATACTTTTTTAAATCTTAGCAAAGAGTTTTTATGTCAGAAAGATTTGCCAACATTTTCTTAATAAAATTGACTTTGGGAAATAAAATATAAACATTTAATTCTTTAATTTGATTCATTTTGACATAAATTACATCCATGTATCGGTAACAAATACACAAAAATATTAATTTAATTTATTAGTAACACTGGCTGTTTTTTGTTTCTTTGCCTTAATAAAGCGTTGATGCGCGCGCCTCGCTAATCTGTGAAAAAGTTATTTCTTTTTCTTTTCGCTGTATTGTTTTTATTTGAAAATATTGTCAAGCAGTAACGAATTTATTAATTTGACACCGCCAGAAGTCGAAAAAGGCTACGCTAAGCCTCTTGCTACGATACTTACAGTCAAGCGTATCAAAATTTCATCTTATGGAAAACATTACGTATTAATTCCTCGCAAATGTGTTATAAAACGAGGAGCTCCATGGCGCAAGTGGTTAGCGCGTTCGGCTGCGATCGTTGAACTTAAGCATCTTTCGCTGTGGTCGGTCATTGGATGGGTGACCAAAAATTACTATCTCGAGCTCCTCCGTGCTTCGGAAGGCACGTTAAGCCGTTGGTCCCGGTTGCATCTGCAGTCGCTAGCATCCACCAATCCGCACTGGGCCCGCGTGGTGGGTCATGGCCCAATCTCCCTATTCCATCCATAGGGAAGGCCTGTGCCCCAGCAGTGGGAACATTAATAGGCTGATGATGTGTTATAAAACGTTCTATGACATACGTGCGGTTTGATAATTACAGCCTCTGCCTTCTTATAGCCCTCACCTACGGCTCAGGCTAACAATATCGCCTCGGCTGTAAATCTTAACTTACCGCACTTATATCATAATTTACTATTACTGTGACATTCTGTAAGTTAGAGGTACCTTTACCAGACGGGCGCGCGGTTCAATTCGATCGTAATATCCGCTATGCGCTTCCTCTCTGATAAATACTTATGTTACTGTTATCTTTACCCGCAGGTCGAGTTTACGCCACATCTCTGATCAAGACAATGGCCGTGTACTTAGTTCGGAAACTGCACATAGAATCCGAGGGGCCTGACAACGATATTGATCTGGACATTGCCATATCCGTGAGGCCAAGACAAGGGTATAGGGTTAAGACACGACCGAGGCACGCCAACGGTTACAGCAAGACGAACGGCGTCAGTAATAAGCATCAATTGTTATACTTATAAATTATCAAACCTTTAATAATTGTGTTGTGTAACCTACATGTAACAGCTAAATTATACCATCGATTCGCAAGTAAAATAAATATGTATGATGTGTGTGTATGTATTATCTTACATAATAAACTTTTACCCCTTTATTAACAATCGAAGACCAAGCTTGGATTACTTTACTTGAAACAGAGACAGAACATAATTTTTTCCCTCTGTTCATTAAATTACAAATGGCACTTGAGTGATATGAACAAAACATAGCAATAATAATATCATTATTTGATACTTAAATTAATCTAAGTGCGTTATATAAAACTACTTTACGAATCTCCTTTTGTAATACTCTAAGGCGTGTGTGGATTAATTGTGCAGACTAGTTCTTAGTGTAAACAAGCACTATAACCGCACAGAATTGAACAGAATGTTACAGATGGGTACTACATATAATATTGGCATGCCACGAAAAATAAGTATTTTTAAAATTTTTATTATTACGGCGCTAGTAGTCAACGAAACAAAACAAGTTGATCGTAACATATCTTATCAAACATCACAAATTCCAATAATTCAATATTAAATTTTATTTTAGTTCTTCACTTGCCATTTGGTTAAAATTTGTGGTGCAAGCAGGTAACATTTTGAAACCGAAAAACGTGTTTGTTCAGTTACTCCAAGTCAATTTTCAAAACTGAAGACATATTTAACTTTAAACTTTTTTTTTCAGTCTTACTTTTTATTGATTAATACAATGATTATTGTACAATACATTAAAATAATATAAAAAATTAAACTTTAAATTAAATTTAATTATTTAATTTTCAATTTTAAACTTATATTTTCAACCAATGACGTTCTATTTTTCAACATTAACTTTTTTACATTAAGCAAAATAGCAAAATATTGTGATATACAGGGTATTGTTGGTGTTTTAAAATGAACCCTGTTTAATCCCAAATAACAATAATTTTATACTAACGCCACACTGTACTGCTGTCGCGAACATTTTCCGATTCCACGACAACTCGGGCCAAGCAATAGTCACATATTTTTAGTACATTGTCATAAATGTGACTGTTTCTTGGGTGGGTGGTCGGGTCACATGGGTCGTGAAAACGGCAGATCTTCGCGTTATCGATAGTGTGGCCCCAGCATTAGTCATGCCACTTTATGCGATAAGATAATTTAAAACGGGGTAGAGGAAATGGTTAGGGTAGGTAACGTGCGAGTGTTAGGCGTCGTCCTAATTGGCAATGATCGTACGATGACACGATGCGTTCTTGTCATGCGATGATTTTTAAACGTACAGAATTCTTCAAACGTGTCCTAAAAGCCGTCGCACGAGCGCAGGTACATTATTTTCATCGCACGATGAGATCGCATCTCGGCATCGCACGATCATTGCCAATTAGGACGACGCCTTAGTATCACAAAACATCCTGTTCTGTGGTAAATATGTATATTTTATGTCGTATTATTAAACATTTTTACCGACTCCAAAATGGAGGAGGTTCCCAATAGGGGGGAGACGACGGGGTAGTGAAGAGGAAATTTTATTCTTAATCCGTCAATTAGATTATCAAATAATAATTAGAACTTTTATTTTTCTTCTGTCAATCAACCAAAAAATTACAAATATAAAGCGCGTCAAAGTTTGGGAGTGGTGGATCGTGACGTCACTGTTTTATTAAAAGTGACGTCACGTGACATTTTAAATCAATATATCTCTAATGTTTTGATTACTTATGTGTAATAAGAAAAACTAAGTGTCCAATACTTTTTGATATTCCTCCTGATAAACAAAGGAAAAAAATGTCGTCATCCCTATTAGTCAGTTCTTTTCATTGATGTTGTTTGAATCAGTTTTTTGGAGAGATGGTCCCGGTGAAGATCTGATGAGTACCCACATAAGGAAAAATTGTTAATTGATAAATTTATCATGTCAAAGTCGAAATTCAGTCGTGCATGATTATTATAGATGATTTTAGAAATGTTTTATTTATGCAGGGATAGCATTTAAGTTGTGTAGATGTCACTTGCATTGAAAAATTACTCTAAAAGTTATTTATTACTTAAAATTTTAGATGCAAGTAGGCTATTATTGCAGTTTTTATTGATTTTATATTTTTGAAGTCAGTTTTAATGTTTAAAAAATGTTTTCTTTATTTTTGTTAACCTGAAATTATTAGAATTTTTATTTCTTTGTAGGTATGAGGATTCGATTTTTTAATTTTTTTAAGGACAATGATAATGATTGTGACTCTCTTATTTTTCTAAAAGCGAGCTGGGGATAAGATATTTGTAGAAACTATAATTCTAATTTAAGTATTTACTGTGTCACTTTTTTGAACGGGTAAACTTCCTGAATAAAACAGATTTATTTTTGAATGTTGTATTAATTATATACTTATCCCTAATTAGAAAAAAAACCTAAAAAGCTGAAAAGAAAATAATGCGAATAATTATAGTGCTAAAAATAATCTATACTTATAATAAATCTGTAGAGATGTCAATTCTGTACATAAAATATATTTTTAAAATAACTATCAGGGGGTGATTAGTGATCGATACTGATGCTAAAAATGCAATCAGTAAATTTTTTGTCTGTCTGTCTGTCTGTCTGTCTGTCTGTCTGTGTGTATGTTCCTTATAGAAACAAAAACTACTCGACGGATTTTAACGAAACTTGGTACAATTATTCTTCATACTCCTGGTCAGATTATAGTATACTTTTCATCACGCTACACTCAATAGGAGCGGAGTAGTGAAGGGAAATGTTGAGAAAACGGGAGAAGTTACTTCATTTTTTAAGCTTCCGTCGCGTGTGCAGCCTTAATGGTTAAAGTTACATAGAAATCATGTATGACGGAAATATTCTACATAAAATTATCTAAAAAATATCCCGCAACAGCATATGTCTATCTTTTATGGTTGACTCACAATAACACGTGTAATTATATAAATAAAGTCATTGTTTATTGCACAAGCCTGAGAACAAAAACTATAGTTTACACTACAGCTCTACACCGAAGCGAAGCGAGGGCGGGCCACTAGTTTATTTAATATAATTATACCTCATTACAAGTATAAATAAACGGGTAAAGATAATCACTGTGTTATTAGCAAAAATGTAGTTAAGAAAGGTGAAACTGGAATTTTGAAAACGCGTTTCTCAAGAAGTTTTTTAAAGTCAGCAGAACTAGTGGTTATTTTATGTGTTGCAAGGACTGTTTTGAGAATAAACAGCTTACTCACGCTCAAAACCTGACAGTCTACGTAGAGCTTATCCGTTGGGTAGCGGCTGGGCACATTAAGCATTACCTTAAGTACTGCTCTCTGTGCTCTCTTAATCTGAATCATGTGAGATTTGTCTGTCCCACCCTAAGCCGATACGCAATATCCTAGAATAGATTGGCAAAGACTAAGATAACATGCGAAGGACTGCTGAATTTGCCCCGCCACGAAGCATATGCATAATGTGAATCAGTTTCCACTAATATTTTCGCATGCACATACTGCCGAAGATTGGGTAATTACATTGTTTGGGCAATTAATTTTATGAATTTTTATATGCGGTATTATTTTCGGTTTCGATAACGCCGTTTTATGAAAAGTTATGAATTTTTTCCTGGCTGTCTCCAGCCGACGGACCAAGATAGCTAAACCTCTCTTCGCCTCCAAAACTGTATGTGACCATGATGACTCTTGAAATAGAATAACCGTATCATCGACATATCAAATTAATTCAGCATTTACCAGAGGAATAGATTGAACGTCATATATATAAATATTAAACAGAATGGGCCTCAGTATACTGCCCTGAGGAATCCCAAAGATAATCAGCTGAATGTCACTTAGAAAGCCATCAATGCGTACGCGCTGCTTGTAATTCGTGAGATAGCTTTCAAACTATGCCAGGACTATGCCTCAGACACCAGACTTTTCAAGTTTAGACAAAATAATAGGTATCAAACCCGGTGTCAAAAGCCCTGGCTAGGTCCAAAAATACACCTACGCATTATCATCCAGAATCAAGGGATTTGGTAACAGATTCACGGCATCTTCTGTGGGACGACCCGGCCAAACTTCCAATCTTCCAATAGCTTATGACAATTTACTGGTAGAAATAAAATGGATTTCCTATTTAGTTTAAGAAAAATAAACTTCCATTGGAATTGATTCCAGAGGCACTATCATTTTTCAGATTACGGATCATTGAGTCAACCTCGCGAGCATCCGTCGGGGACGGAAAGAAAGAATCGGCAGGAGTTCTTGTACATTTAGTTCTTTTTTCTAAGAATTCTTGCGTCGTGTTGAAACTGGGGAGTGTGTCACAAACTCTTATGCTAAACTCTTAGCCTTATTCGAAAAATGTTTGTTACAGACGGACAGGAATTATTCTTCGGTCCGACAGTGTAAGTAATTCGGTATTGCTTTCTTTATGTTCGGCTGTCCTTTCTTTTTTGTAGTGTGACAGATGTTATTCACCGTTCTACGATAAATTATGATAGTGGGTCGTTTGCCTTAATGTACAATTATTTGGATCATTTTGCGAGCTCAGAGGTAGTCTGTCAAGATTACTTATACATCGGATGAGCCCCGGGGTCATCCACGGCTTTTTAATGTGTCCTTTATAATAACCGGGTAATTTGCATGTGTAGCGGGTTAATATTGATTATAAAATTTACGTGAATGCATTTGTTGCAGTGGGCGCATCTGTGCAGCGAATTGTGGAGGACCACTTAATTGTCTTAAGTTCACTTGTTGCCGCTGTATAATTTACCTTTGTGACGTATTAAATTAATTTATCTTTACTTTTATAGGACAGTGACTGGCCGGGCATTGCTATTCAATGATCTATAAAGCTACTTAGTCAAATAACCCCCACACTAGGATAATATGGTTTTAAGAATATATGATCCAAGCATGATTTAAGGCGCGTCGGTTTTGACATTGTGTTTAACAGACCGCCAACAGACACAGGTAGTTATTATTTCCAACACACACCAATTAGCCTAGCCCAAAGTAAGGAGTGTAGGCTTGTGTTATGGGATACTATTAGTATAGTTATTATGTGAGCTAGCGGTATCACAGGATAATATATCAATGTTTATGTCACCGGTTATTATGATGTTCACTTTCTTCTTACGTGAGGAAAGATTTCGATCTAGTAACTCAATAAAGTTGTCAGTGTTTTTTATAGAGGGAGAACGGTATATTCCCAAAATCGTGATGAATCCCATAATCTCCTAGTTAAACTATTAGCCTCGTCGTTGAAATCAATATCCAACCCTGTGTTATCAAAAGTCAAAGTGTCCCTAACATTAATCACTTAAAAATCCATCAATGAGTACGCGCTGCTTGCAATTCGTGAGATAGCTTTCAAACCATGCCAGGACTATGCTTCAGACACCAGAGTTTTCAAGTTTAGACAAAAGAATAGGTATCGAAACGGTGTTAAACGCTCTGGCTAGGTCCAAAAATACACCCACGCATTATCATCCAGAATCAAGGGATTTGGTAACAGATTCACGGTATCTAGCCAACATTCCGTAAGCTCTATTACATTGTAATTTATATTAAGCTATTTAAGTGTGTTTCACTTAAATAGCTTAAACAAGTGATCCAAACTGCCTCTGAGTATCCGGTCAAGATCTGTTGGGCATTTGATAGCCCTTGCGTTAGTTCCCTGTGCGCATTATACAAAGACGGTCCCACTTTTAATCCAGCAGCAGTATTTGAAGCCAGTCTTTTTGGCCAGCTTTCTAGTTTCTCGAAATATACTACCTTGTTATACCTCTTCGTTTCTTGCAAGAATTTATAAACTCGTCACGTGATCCTTGTCGAACAAAACGTGCAACCATATGTCTAAATGATGATATAGGTTTTGGATCAGCACTTGTATTTGTTGCATTATTGGTAGAACGTCGAAGCGCCCTCACTTGGCCCACTGAGTTGATTTTTTCCCCTCTAGCTTTATGCCTACTTTTTGTCCCAGAACTAAGATGGTATGTAATAGGTTTTCATGCGTGACGAAGTAGTGGGAGTACCCACTACTCCGTCACGCCGACAATTTCAATTTCATTTCGCGGCAAGGCCTGTGCTTGGCTATTAAGCTCTTGCTGGAGTTTTTCTTTTTCCTCTTCAAGGGCTATAATCTTTTTAGAAGCGATGTCGACCTGGAGCTCTACTCTCTTTCCGAAACGAAATTTCGGCAACGAACGAATTTTTAACCGAAATTTCGCCACTGACTCTTCTCTATTTCATCTTCGAACACGTATAAAGTTCGGAACCACAGACAATTTTCGTGAACGATTGGAATGAGTTATGTTTGTGAGTTCTTTTTGTCTACACTTTTTAGATAACGTTTTTTACTTCAAAACAATATTACTTTATGCCAAAAATTTTGATTACGCTAAACAACCTCTTTTGACAGTATTAGCCGACTAATATGTAGTTTTTGCAATCGAATGCACATATGTCAACCTAAATTTGTCATATAATACTTTGAAGTATTGGCAATACAATAATAAACAAAAAATTGATTTATTTGTAAATTTTTCATACTAAATAATGTTCCTCACGCTAAGCAGCCCTTATTAAAAATACTCTAGTTGTAAATTTAGGTTTAATTTAAACAATAGTCGCAAAACGAAAAGGTAACACTTTTCATTTCGTCAATTTGAGGTTAAAATTTCGAACAATAATCTGTCAACTTCAACTTTTAGTTCGAAAATTTTGTGAATTAGAGTCAATGACTAAAGAAGTTGTTACTCTGAGATTAGAGTAGGCTTAGAGAATTTAAATGTCAAACTATTTTATATTTTCGGACGAACGAATTTTCGAAATGAAATAGAAACACAGTAAGGAACGTGCGAATTCCGATCGAAATTTCGTTTTTCGTTGAAATAGAGTAGGTCTCCTGGCTTCGCAATCCATCGTTTTGAGCAATCACATGATCAAAAACACTCATCCATTTCACCTTTCCATTCATTAAAGATCATGTGTATTTCACGTCTAATCGCCGATTCAAACAAGTCAGCGCTTCTTTAATCGTTCGTTTACGGTCGAGGAGGTCATTCACCTGCTTAAAGGTAATATTGCCTGCATTTAAATCTGTCTCGAGTTTGTAGTGAATCTGTTGCAGTTGCCAAGCCGTGAAAAGAATCATCGCAGGACATAATGTAATCATTAAGGGATAGAAGCGTGCGTACTGGTGTGTTTGTGTTGTCACAACGACGGCATAGCCATTGCTTTCTGTTCTCATTGAGTATGTTTTCAAATAATGCTGTAAATACATTTAAACATTTGATGAGACATGACAGTCGTAATAGGTGTTATATGTATTGCCAACGCAGTGTATTTCCGATTGCAGATATTTGTTAACATGCGGTAGATG